GACTGCTCCGCCCAATGGAGGCGCCACAGTGACCAGAGCAGGAGTAGCGACAGGGACAGGAGGGAGGGAGGGAGGGAGGGAGGGAGGGAGGGAGGGAGGGAGGGAGGGAAGTCAGGCAACTACGGGGGCCTCCAAGCTGGGCATCAGGTCTTATTGCGAGGCCAGCAGGGGGCATGGGCAGTGCAAGCCCTGCAAGCGATTACAAACTGAACAGATCATGAGACTCAGAAATTCCACTCCAGCGGTCTTCCGCGTGTCTTTACTCAGCCCAGGAATGGGACCATGGGTGCAGCACCATCTAAAAGTCCCGAGCTGGAGACTGCCCCATGCCCATCAACACGCACATCGTGGTCCCTCCACACAGCAACGGGAGGTGAAAGGACCCCGCGTCCCCCAGCTCAGGGAGCGACTCTCTCTCTCTCTCTCTCTCTCTCTCTCTCTCACATACATACACACACACACACACACACACACACACACACACACACACACGGTGCAGGCAGGCGCACGCTGTGGATGCCCTGGTCAGAGCGCCAAGAGCAGAAAGCTAATCTGTGCTACTCAGGGCAGGAAAGTAAACCCAGATTCAACTCTGATATTTTATAGGACTTTTTCTATTCTAAATGTTTTTTTATAATATTACTAGAGGCCTGGTGTATGAAATCCATGCACAGGAGGGGTCCCTCAGCCCAGCCTGCACCCTCTTCAATCCAGGACCCCTCAGGGGATGTCCAACTGCCGGTTTAGGCCCGATCCTAACTGCTCACCTGCCTGCCCGCCTGATCGCCCCTAACCATTCTGCCTGCCTGCCAGATCGCCCCTACCTGCTCTCCCATGCCAGCCTGATCACCCCTAACTGCTCTCCCCTGCTGGCCAGATCACCCCTAATTGCCTCAGCCCCCGCCACTGTGGCTTTGTCTGGAAGGATGTCTGGAAGACGTCCAGTCTACCCAGTCTAATTAGCATATTACCCTTTTATTAGTATAGATTATATTGCTCTTGTTGGTTAAAAAAAAAATCTACATTTTTAAAAGATGCTGTTCTTTCCCCTGGCTGACTACTAGCACTCAGAGCCTTGTCCTCACAGGTGTGGCCCCAGCTCCTGCTGACAGTGGCTGATCAGGCCACCAGAGTGGCCTCACTCAGCCACTTCCTCCCCTCCCCCATCTACTGTGCCTGGCACACGGGCCACCCCCGCAGTCATGGCTGCCCTCCTCCCCACACCCTCAACCTCGGCAGTTCCCCCAGTACCTTGTACCAGGTGATCAGTGGTCTCCCTCTCCACTTCGGGGCTGAGCTGCCGGGTTTTCTGAAGATACTTCAGGACAAAGACGTTGGGCGCAAAGTGGATCATGTTTTGCTCTCCACAGCCAAAGGGCAGCCGCAGGAGGCTGCTGAGGTGGCTCAGGGTGGGCCCCATGACGTCTCCTGGGGAGAAGGAAAGGAGGGCTGGGCTGGGGGCCGGCCTTGCCAGGGTCCTCGCTGTCTTTGGGGCAGCTTTGCAGAGATGGGAGCCCACCTGTGGCCTAACAGTGGCCACCCACACCTCTGAATGCTAGTGCTGCCATTTGAAACTGGACTGCACCCTGTCCAGTCAGCCCACCTGCTCTACCAGCTCTGGTGGCCACCTCATACACACCTCCCTGTGTTCCTTAGCTTGAACTCAGGTGTTCTTTCTCTGCCTTTTCATTACACTAAATGCTTTTTGCTTTCTGGCTTTTTAAACAGGTACATTCAAGGCTATGAATTTCCTTCAAAGTATGATTTTGCTGCACCTCACAAATAATAATGCATCAATACAGCCATTTAGAATTCTAAATCATTCTAAATATTTTTTCTAACTTTTAATTAAAAAGGTGATTTTTAAAAATTGATTTTAGAGAGAGAGAGGAAAGGAGAGCAAGAGAAAATCAATTTATTTTTCCACTGATTTATGCATTCATTTGTTGATTCTTTTTTTAAATATGCTTTTATTGATTTCGGAGAGAGGAAGAGAGATATAAACATCAATGATGAGAGAGAATCATTGATCGGCTGCCTGCTGCACGTCCTCTATTGGGGATCGAGCCTGCACCCCAGGTATGTGCCCTGACAGGGATTGAACTGTGACCTCCTGGTTCATAGGTCAATGCTCAACCACTGAGCCACACCAGCTGGGCCATTGGTTGATTCTTGTATGTGCCCTGACTGATGGAACCCACAACCCTGGCTTATGGGGATGCTGCTCTAACCAACTGTGCTACACAGCCAGGGCAGTATTTGGATTTTTAATAAAAGTTTCCGTACATGTCGGTGCATTTTTAATTTTTTTTTCTTTTACTTCTGGTCCTTATTCTCATCCCTTCAGCACTGTGTCTTCCTCTTCTTGGTGTCTCTGTCCCCAAAATTGCTGAGGGGCCCTCCAGAATCCCCACTGTTCCCTGGTCGCACCTCCTTTCCTTCCTTGGCCTTTCCTCCTGTCCCACTGCGGCTGCCACTGCTCCTGCGGCCTCATCTGTGGTGGGGCTGCCTGGCTACTTTCTCATCGACCCCGTCTGGGTTCCCCGCTTCCTCTCTGCCCTCTGCCCTATTGTGCGGAAGGCACTGGGACGCGGGGCCAGCTTCCCCTACTCTCCACCTCAGCCCACGTGCCTCCTCACCTATGCCCTTCACCTTCATTTGGGCCACTAACCCTCCCAGCCACCTCTAACTTAACCTTGTACTTCAGAAATCATCAACTCCAATATCTTCTGATCCAGCCACAACCATCAACCTCCCTGAGCCCCAGGGCTTCCACTCTCTGATGTCAGAGACCTAAGACCCCCTCAGTCAGGTCTGTCTGCCCCCTCCTGGCCTCTCCCCCTCTCCCCACCCTTCCAGCTCCCAACATTAGATGGATCACACAGTGCCTACTTCCCACTCCCATGCCTGAGCTACAGAAGACAATCCACAGCCCTAGAGACTCCGGTCACAGCCTCTTGCCCTGTTCAGCCAATGTTCTAGATGCCAGCAACCCCCCTCACCACGACCCCCACTCCCCTCCCTGTACCTGGCTGGTTTCACCTGGCCTTTTGGCCTTCTTTGCACATCGCCCCAGCTCCATTGCCCCTGGAGTTTATCACCTGTTCCTTGGGGTCACCCTACACAGGGCTTGGACCGGGTAGGTTGGACCTGCCTTCTCAGCCAGACAAGGAGCTCCTCAAGGGTAGGGTTGGGATCACCTCTGGGACTGTCCCCAGAGCCCAGCATGGAGAAGGCACTAGAAACTACTTGTCAGGTGAGAGTGGGGGTGTGGCTGGAGGCCCCAGGGGCACAGGTTCCCAGCAGAGCCCAGTGTGACCTGAGCCTGAAGTAGCCACCTGGCCCTCGGGCTCCTGCCCCATCCTCCCGAGCCAGGCTGCGGAGCAGACGCACCTATGAGGGAAGCGGCCGCCCGCTCCGAGCCAGGGATGGCGCTGTGTGGGACCCCCAGGGTGAAGGCCTCGCTGTAGCTCTCATCCACCTCCATCTTCCTCCAGAGGCGGAACTCGCCCATGGAGCCCCAGCCGGTGGAGAAGCCAATGAACTGGACGTCTGGGGCCTTGGGGAGGGTCCAGGTCATGATGACAGACTCGTTGGATGGCTCTGGACCATACCCAACCTGCAAGAAAGAGGCCAAGGCTGCTGGAAGCTGGAAGAAAGCAGGCAGTGGCGCTCAGGCAGCAGCAACACTGGCTACAGGGCCAAGGTCAGAGAAACCAGAGGTTATCCTATCCATTGAATGGCCAACAGAGACACAAGCATGGCATCTACAGGTTCTGAAGTGACCAGGCTCCCTGGAACCTCTGGGCCTTTGCACGTGCTGTTCCCTCTGTCAGGAACACCTTCACCCTGGTTTGCCCAGTGGCCCTATGTCCCTCCTCTAGGAAGCTGTGTTAGCTGTTCCTTTTCTATGGCCCCCCTCCTTGGATCAGAAAGTGCCCTGAGCCCCTTTTGGACCTGTTCACATCCACTTTCTTTCTCCCTAACCACCCACCACCGCTCAGCTCCCAGATCCCCAGGCGCTTCCTCTGCCGTAGCTCTCACCACAACTCCAGGAAGACTGTGAGAAACTCGAGGTGCCGCCCTGTGTCCATCCTCCCTCCTCCCCAGCCCTCCTCAGAGCCAGACACAGAGCGGGAAGCAGTAAAGGTCAAAGAACCACGCGATTCCCATGCCCAGCCAGGCCAGCCCAGCCGTGCCTGGATGAGCCCGCCGTGCCAGCTGATCCAAAACGTTCGGAACTCATCCCAGGAGAGGATCTTGGCCGTGTGTGTGCCGGCCACGGGCTCGCCCATCTTGCTGGTGGAGATCCAGGACCTGGTGTTCTGGTGGCCCCCCAGGACGATCTCAATCATCCCCGCGGCGTCTTGGGGCCCGGGGGACAAGGCCACGCGGGCGTCGTTGTGGGCTCGCACGGACAGGTCGAAACGAGTGAGGCGCTGTGGCCGCTGCACGTACTGGAACTCGTACTTGTTGGGCGTGGAGATATGAACTCTCTCTGGATGGAGGAAAGGAAGAGGGGACATTGTGGGTCGCCTGAAGGCCCCGGCCTTCCTGTGCCTGCTCCTGGAGCCGAGAATTGGGACAATGGGGAGTGGGTCTCACTGTGGCTCGGCCAGCAGCTGCAGAGGCATGGCTGCTGCTGGCTTAACGATGGCTGTGCCAACAGCACAGGAAAGAAGTGCTCTCAGGGATACTTCCTGCAAAAGATGCACAAGACCTGTGCCCTGGGAACTGGAAATGCTGCTGAAACTAAGGAAGACCCAAGTCAGTAGGGAGCAGGTATGTTCGTGGGTCTGAAGACAATATTTCAAGATACCAATCTACAGATGCGATATCATCCCAACAAAACCCCAGCAGGGTCTTTGGAGAAATTGCAAAGCTGATTCTACATGGAAATGCAAGACCTAGAAGAAGCAAAACAACTTTAATAAGAAAGAATCGAGTTAGAGGACTCACCCTATATGACACTGAGACTCTAAAGCTACAGGAATAGCCTGGCTGGTGTGGCTTAGTGGTTGACCATAGCCTTATGAACCAGGAAGTCATGGTTTGATTCCCGGTCAGGGCACATGCCTGGGTTGCAATCCCTCCGCCCCCCCAGTAGGGGGTATGCAGGAGGCAGCCGATCAATGATTCTCTCTCATCATCGATGTTTCTATCTCTTTTTCCCTTCCTCTCTGAAATCAATAAAAAAAATATGCCTCCTGCACACCCCCCACTGGGGATGGAGCCCGCAACCCAGGCATGTGCCCTTGACCGGAATCGAACCCGGGACCCTTCAGTCCACAGACTGACGCTCTATTCACTGAGCCAAACAAGCTAGGGCAAAAATATATATATTTTTTAAAATTCTCAAAAAAATAAAATAAAGCTACAGGAATCACAAGAGTGTAGCTTTGCTGTCAACATAGACAAATCCTCAATGGAACAGAACAGGGAGTCCAGAAATAGACACACACATGTCTGAACAACTGACTTTCAACAAAGCTGTGAAGGCAATCCCACAGAGAAAGAAAAGTCTTTTCAAGAAATGGTGCTAGAGCCCTGGCCGGTAGCTCAGTGGGTTAGAGAGAGAAACTTATTTGTTGTTTCACTTATTTATACATTCATTGGTTGATTCTTGTACATGCTCTGATAAGGGATTGAACCCACAAACTTTGCATATCGGGATGACGCTCTAACCAGGCATAATGCTCATTTAAGGGGCATCAAGGTAGACCCCAGACCCCCACCTTCTGGAACTCACTTTAATTTCCCATGTCCTCCTCTGTTGCGCCAAGGTCTGGGTCTCCCTAATTCCTCAGTGTCACTCTAACACCCCTTCCCTGGACCCTGGGCTCTACTCCTGCCCACAGCCACTTTTCTTGTTGGCATCGACAGTCTGCAATTGCGTACATTCACTTCCTGTGTGGCAGGTGCCCAGCCCTCACTCTGGTTTATGGTTGTCCCCAGACAGAACATCTCAGTTCTCTGCTGCTGGGTCCTCAGCCCCCAGGGAGGGTGGCTGTCTACTTAGCAGCTGGAGAGCTGCAACACTGCAGGGGTAAGGGTCGGGGACTCACCGTTGGGACAGAAGAAAGCACTGTAAGTGTACGTGCGGGGAGCTCCTTCAGGCTGAAAAAGAGAAATGGGGGAAACAGTGTTGGCTGGCAGTCAGGAGAGGGTGCAGTGCCCTCCCAGGGCAGCGGCTCCAGCTCTGGACACTGCAGGGTGATGCCAACCTCACAGGTACACAGACAAGGACTGGGCTGTCCACCTCTCAGCGCAGGTGGGGAACTGAGGCTCCGCCCCTTCCCTGGGCTCTAGTCAAGCTCCCGCCCCCTTCCCTGGGCTCTAGTCAAATAAACTCACCAACCAATCCTGGACTTGT